ACTTGCCAGCACTGGGAGGACCAGTGAGGGGGATGCTCTGCAGCCACCCCCAAGGGACTGGGGAGCCCAGCGATGCCTTGGGGACCTCCACAAATGGAGAAGGAGGAAGAGGAGGAGGAAGGCGACTGCAGCCTGCAGGAACCTGTGAATTATTTGCTCCATCGTGGTCCGAAGTGAGGCAGCCCCTGCACAACACCTTGATGCCACCATCCCGGTGGGACAGGACTTGGCCTCCAGTCGCAGCCCTGGCTCCCTCCGTTCATAGACAGGGGGCAGGGGGGGGCCTGGAGAGGGGCTGGGGGGTCCCCAGACCTCCCCCCCAGCCTGGCTTTATTTATAAACACCGTCCATTATTGTATGCCCCCCCCTATAAATACCTGTACACTTGTAACGCCTGCTCCTCCATACCTGCCACTGCCTGCTGCGGCTCTGCCCCTGCTATGGGAGTAGACACATCAGTCCTGTCCTTGGAGGCTCCCATCCCTTGGGAAAACAACCCTATGGGGATGGGAGCGCTGAAGCAGGGGGCTGGGGCTGCGTCCCCCCTCCCCAAACACCCGTGTGGGACCTGCTGTTGTTTCCAGACACGCGGTCACTGCCCTGATTTGAGGCACGATCGCAGTGATTGCGGGGCAGGCTCCTCGTGAGGGGCTCCTCGATGCCTCCATGGGGTAATGACAGGCAATTTGGAGCTGGTGAGGATGTTGGCCTTAATAAGGGTGGCAGAGGGAGGTGGGGGGACCCTGGGCTCCTGCCCCATATCTCCAGCAGCCCCTGGAGTCGATACCTGGCTCTGGCAGGGGCAGCGTTTTGGGAATGGGGGGATACTTTTCCGCTGCAGGTTCCCTCCTGCAGTGCATCTCCCACCTCCTTTTGTACTTTCCAGAGGCCAGAACCTGGCTGGAAAATACCTGCTTGGTATTTCCCACTTTTCCCAGTCCCAGCCAGTGCTTGTCCCCTATGATGGGGATGGGACCTGCGCTGAGGTTTCCCCAGCAGAGATTTGCTGGGGCACTGAGTCCGTACTGAGGTTTCCTCCATTGCACAAACATGATCTGCGCTCCCGATGCTCCCACTTTACATTCCTCCCACTCCAAGGGTCCCTTCCTGCCCCAGGGACCACATTTCCCATCCCAGCTGGAAAAGCCTGGGAGGGAGGGATGTTGTGATGCTCTGCATGGCACTGTTTGCTTTGCACCGTCAGCAGCGCATGAGGCCAGCCAGGAGTGGGTTTGATCCCTCAGCCAAGAGGTTTGGGGTGCTGCTGGTGACCCCACCGAGCCACAGGCATGGCTGGCTCCTGCTGCGTCCCGTGATGCCCATGGGTACATTGCAGCGATGGCATGTGGAGGATGTGGAGGCTGTGGGCTCAGCACCCCCCAGGACCAACCGAGGCCAAGACATGGTGCCTGGGTGGATGATGGTCCCAAGTGGGGTTGAGGGGGTGAGTCCAGCAAAAGAAGGGGTCTGTGCAGGGCAAGACCTTGGCTTTATTCCCCTGAGGGATGGAGCCCATCACCCCCACCGAGGCTTTAGGGAGGTGGATGGATTTGCTTTGCGCTGCTCATCCAGAGACTGGGGCAAACCCAGCTCCTTGTGGGTGGGATTTATCCCGGACAGGGGTTTGGGCTGGAAGGGACGGCTTTCCTCAAGGAATTACTCTCCAGCCATGGGAAGGGGCTGGAACGCGGTGTGGTCCTGGCTCCAAAAGGTGGCTTGGGTGCTGGCGGGTGCTGAGCAGGGGATGGGGAAAACAGGAGGCAGAGGCTGCGGCGCCCGCTCGGCTTTCCCGATGGATGTGCTGCCAAGGACCTGCAGCCAGAGCCGCTCACAGGTCCCGGCTTGCAGCGGGAGGGAAGCAGCAGCCATGGGTTCCAGGAGCCAGGATCCATCCCACCCCACACTGGGACAGTGGCTGGCGCCTGGACCCCGCAATGGGGACACCCGCAGCTCCCCCTGCACCCAAACATACATGGGAGAGCCATGGCTGACCCCAGATCCTGCTCCAGCCCATCTCTGGGCACCCCTGGCCCCTGCTGCCACCCGCCTGTGCTTGGGATGCTCCTATGGGATTGGGATGGGGACAGGGATGGGGTCTGGAGAGCAGAGGAGGAGCTTTGAGGGTTGTTCTACCCTTTCTGCAGCTGAAGCGGAGGGTGCCCCAGGAGATGCCTGCACAGCATCACTGGAGCTGCTTTTGCCTCTTCTCCACCAGCCAAAAGTGTCCCCACTCAGAAAAGGCCCAGAGCTCCCAGGCATCCCTCTCTGGTAGGGTTTAACCCACTGGATGGGAGAAAACCCATTAGGGGATGTCTTGGGGATGGGCTTCTTTGGGTCCCTCTTCCCTCCACCCGCACGGGCTGGAAACCCAACCAGCTCCCTCCAAAGCACCGGGGCAGATTTGGGGGGAACCTTGTGTCCCTTTGCTGTCCCGAGCCCAGACAGGGTGATGGGACATGGACAGGGGTAGACACAAAGATCCCTGAGGCCACTTGGAAGCGTTTCCATCCTGTTTTCCAGAGCCGTGAATGGAGCCAGGGCCCTGGCTCGTGGCAATGCTGTGGTTGCCCCGTGTCACTCCGGCTGCCGCGTGCCGGGTTAGCCAAGAGCTGGGAGAGGATGAGGATTGGGAAAGGATGAGGACGCCGTGGATGCCAGGCCAGGCTGTGGGTGAGCAGCTGCCCCCGCTCCTTGTGTTGGCAGCAGGGTGACGCAAGGGGCTGGAAGCAGCGTGGCGCAATGGGGAAAGAGGTGCTGGCACCATCCCCTCCAAGGGGCTGGATGTCCCCAGCATCCCCATCCTGGTGTTAGGATGATGAAGGATGGTCATCCCATTCCTGTGCCAGGGCCGGGTGAGGGATGCTGGGAGGATCTGGGTGATGTTCCCACCCTGGTGTGTGTGTTGGGGGTCCTGCCTTTGGCTCTCAGGCTTCATTCTGCTTTTGGGAGCACTCTGGGGTATCAGCTGCTTGCAGGAGGATGGAGCTTGGCAGTAGGGAGGGAAGGCTGGGTCCTGCAGCCCCAGGAGCTTATGGCTGCCCCATCCCTGGCAGTGTTCAAGGCCAGGCTGGACACAGGGGCTTGGAGCAAGCTGCTCCAGTGGAAGGGGTCCCTGCCCGTGGCAGGGGTTGGAGCTGGGTGAGCTTTAAGGTCCCTTCCAACCCAACTCATTCCATGGGGGAACAAGGGGACAACAACAACCCCTGCGTCCATCCCTGCTGCACAAGCTGCCAGCAGACCCCAGCTCACAGGCAGTGCTGGAGGGGAGCAGGATGAACCTCGGTCCACAGGCAGGGATGCTCCCAGCATTCCTATATCATGTGTGGATACAGAACCTTCTGCCTTTCCCTTCCCTAGATTAAAAACCCAACAAAACCCCATTGCCAGCTCGCGCCGTGCCTCTCACTCCAGGCAATGCCGCTCTGTTTCCTCCTTCCCAACCTGCCTCCTCCCTGCTCTTGCTGGCAGCTCCCCCTAATCACCCCCATGTCTCCAGCCTGTCTGCCCGCCGCCGGCTCTGGGGCGCATTGCACACAGCCTCCAACCCCAACCCCAACCCCAAGCATATGGGGGGCTGGCAGCACCCCTTTGTGTGCTGCAACCAGCCGGGTCACGAAGCAGCTGGATGGGGATACCCAGGCATCCCGATGCTGGATGCATGGGATGAGGTGGGAAGCTGGGGGGTGCAGCCATGGGGGGATTGGGGGAAACCTTCATGGGTGTAAAGAGTGAGGTTGGCCCCGTGTGGTCTTGGCCATGGGATATGGGGATGTGGGGACACCACTGGATGCATCCTGGCTGTGTCCAGCACTCAGCGGAGCTGGGGTTCCCTGGATGGTGCAGAGGGACCATCCTCAGAGCCACCCCATGGAGACCGAGTGCCATGTGGGGATGAAGGGGGACCCTCCAGGATCGCTGGGGATGGGATGCATGGCTCAGTGAGGACAACATTGGGATGGATAATGGGACTTCAACCCCCGACCCTTTGCTGCACTCCTAGGCACAGAATGATGCCGGGGACAGCGGGGACAGCAGGGCAAGGTGATCAGCAAGGTTCAGCCCCAAGGACCGTCCCTATCACCGGTCACTGGAGCCCTCCCAGCCCCAGAACACTGATGGGTGAAGTCACCATCTCTGCGACTGTCGTCCCCATGGGATTGGTACCTTGGGGGGGGGGGGGGGGGGGGTGTCCCATCCCTTGCTCATGAGCATCCCCAAAAGGGACACCGGGGCAGCCCAGCACCTTCCCAGTTTGCATGGCCAGCAGTGTACTGGTCCCAGTAAGCAGCAGGGGAGGGAAGCAGGTCCCGGCTGCAGTGGGGCTGACTCTGCAACCAGGAGTAAAATTCCCTTCCTCCAGATTCCCTCTCAGCGGGGCAAAGTGGGACCCGGGATGAGCCAGCAGCACCCTTGGGTGCCCGCTCCCTTAAGCCCCCAACTGCTTCCTAAACCAGGGCACACCGGCTTTAACTCCATGTTTTCCAAGCCGGAAAACTCAGGAGTTCCTCCCTGCACATCAAAAACCCTCCCCAAAAACGACGTTTGGAGCTTTCAAATTCAAACCACTTTTATTCACACTTCGAGATCAGCTTTTGGTCACTAGGAAAGCAGCAAAGGTCGCTCGGAGGAAGCCTCTTTGTCCTTAGAGGGGGCTCCCAGCACCCAATTTTGGGTGTTTTCCCCTTTTTTTTCCTTAAAAAAAACAACCCAAAAAGCAAACAACAAAACCAGAGCAAAACCAGTTTGGTTTGGATCAACTTTATACAAACGAACCTTTATGTACACTCTCTTTTTTTCCCCCAATACACCCCTATTTATATATAAGGCAACATAAATAAGACCCTCGGCACTGTACAACGTGTATGAACACTTCTTCAAACGGCACTTGCTGCTTTTAAAAAAATAGCATCATCCTCTTAAAAAATAGTAAAATTTCTTTTTTCTTTCTCTTTTTTTTCTTTTTTTTTTTGTTGTTTTTTTTTCCCCTCTAAAACGTGCTGTTGATTCGCTTAGAAAACAGGCACCCCGCTTCGCTGGGAGCTGAACTGACACGGATGGAGTCACTGCTGGGAAACAGACTTTAGCACAGCTTTTCTCTCTACAAAATAACTTAAACCGTTCCTGAACTGTTTAAATATTAAAATAGGATTCTTTTTTTCTCCCCCTCCCCTTACACTTTCGATTTATTCTTAAATAACCACCTTATTGTCGGAGCCGGTCCTCATCCCGCGAAGCCGCCATTGAAACGGATGGGCTGCGGGTGCTGCTTGGCTCCCGTGGGGTATCCGCGGTCCCCCCCCGCATCCCGGCGGTGAAGCTCATCCTCTCATCCGATGCCGTGAGGGTGAAGCTCATCCCGCTCCTTTGGCATCAGCGATGGGCACCCGCACGCGTCCTCCTCCCCACGGGCTCCATCCGGACCTGGGTGCGGGTGCTCTGGGTGCCCCTCGTGCTCAGGGAGCCCCCCCTAAAGGCAGCTGCCCAGGGTGGCCCCAAGAGGCAAAGCTCCAGTGAGAGATTCCCATCGGGATGCGGCTCCTCGGGGGCTGGTTTTTATTAGGGGGTGATGGAATAAGGATAAAAATGCATAAGAAGAATTCGCTGCCACCTTTTCCTTGCCTGCCCTGGGCTGGTAGCTATGGAGTTTAACCCTTTGGAGTCCTCTTGTTCCTGAGATGAGCTGGGAAAGGATAGGATATCTAAGAGTATATTTAGGGGTGTGTGTACATGGGTGTCCTTTTTTGCTTTAAAAGTAGAAAAAAAAAACAAAAAGAAGAAAAAAACCCAAAAAGTAGGGGGAAAAAAAGGAGGCAAAGGAGTTCTGCCACTGTCCCTCATTCCTGGCTCTTAGTAGACGGCACCCGTGTTTGGGGGCGGCCCCGGGGAGGTGTGATGCATCGCGGCGGCCGGTGGTGGCTGGTGGGGTCCGTGGGGTCCGCTGAGGGTCTGGGGGTGGTACCAGGGGTTGTGCTCCTCCAAGAAGCCAGGAGAAGAGCTGTAAGGAAGCGGCTGCGGGAGGGGGGTCCTGCCCGGCGCGCTGCCGTGCGAGTTACTGTCCCAGACGGCCGGGGAAGGCGGGGAGTTGCAGGCCATGGAGTCGCTGTTGTTGGGGCTGTGCTCCAGCGGCACCTCGCCGTTCTTGTACAGCTTCTTGAACTTGGAGCGCCGGTTCTGGAACCAGATCTTCACCTGGCAGGGAAGGAGAGGGGGGTCAGTTCCCCCGGCACCGAAAGCGGGTTGAATGGGATGCTCACGGCGAGGCGGGGGGGGAACGGACCTGGGATGGACCCCACTGAAGTGGGAAGGGATAAGGGACATGGGCACCCCGGGGAGCTTGGCACACCATGGGGACTCACAGACATGGTGCATTGCGGGAAGCCCCCCCAGCTTGGCACCCGCATGGCACCCATGTGGACCCCAGACCACACAGTGCTGGGTGGGAAGGTGTCAACGGCCATGGGCGTCATAGGGACCCCATTGCAGGAAGCCTGCCAGAAGACCCCAAACACCCAGGAAGGCACCGGGCTGTGGGTGTCACCCGGACGCACCACGCAGGCACCACGGTACGGGTGTCACGGGGACCCTGGAGACATGGAGCATCGCAGGGTGCCCTGGTGGGGACACGGGCGTCGGGGGAAGCCCGTCACTGCAGCATCACGGGCGTTGGGAGCGTCCCTGGAGCTGGGTGAGGCGGCGCTGGACGCCCTTGGCCCCTGGGGAAGGGGTGGGTGGCTGTCACCCAAACAGGATGTCCCTCTGGGAGCGGGTGACGCGCTCCGTCAGCCCTTTGCCGAGTGTCCCCGATTGCTTCATCGCCCAAGGGAGGAGGAGGAAGGCCGGGAGGCGCTGGGGAGCGCCGCACCAAGGGCGGCACAAGGGCGCCGGTGCCGGCCCGCAGGCAGGGAGGGTGCTGGGGATGGGATGGGGTGCGGGGGGAGCCCCGCGCTGCGGCGATGGGGGGGGGGGGGGGGTGACAACCGGCTCGTCCTCGCGCCAGCAGATCCGGGGGGGGGAGGATCTGTCCCCGTGCCAGGCAAACCCCAAAAGCGAGGCTTTGGCCCCACATCGTAAGGGGGAGCCCATAGCACCCGTCCCTGCTCTTCCCGTCCAGCCTAAACTGTCACCCCAGCACGGAGATCCGAGGGGGAATGTGGATCCTATCCCAAAATCCCTTCTCTTTGCCCGGACCAAGCAGCACGGGGGAGCCGGAGCCCCGGGAGGAGCTCCCTAAGGGAAGCCTTGGAAAATCCAGCTGGAAGAGCAGGGTCTGCCCCCCAGGTGCTCCCACGAGGCAGAGGGCCAGGACCTGCTGCTGGGATGGGGTGTCTCAAGCACCCTGTCCCAAACGTCCCGTCCTGCATCCGGATTTGGTGTCCCACATTCCCGGCGTGCCGGGTGTGTGGTGACCCAGGACTCTCCCAGACACAGGGGCAGGATTCAGCCTCTGACCCTGCCCGGTGCCGGAGCAGAGCGAGGTCTGGGACAGGGCTTGCTCCAGAGGGAAGGGGATGAACCCCGAAACCTGGGAGCGGGCTTGGCTGGGATCCTTCCCTTCTCTCTGCTCCTTCCCTCCTCTCCACCTTTTCCTCTGCAAAGCAGATCTGCTCCGCACGGGGAAACGTGGCAGCAGGGACCCCTGCGCCCATAAGCAAGGGGGCAGCACCCATCCATAGGGACCCCCAGCCCCTGCTCTGTGAACAGAGCCCCCCTCCCAAACCCCACCGGTTCGGGCTATGCAAGGAGGGCGCTCCCGGCTCCTGCCCTGCCGATCCCTCCTGCCTGTGGCTGGGAACTGGGGTGCCGGGGGGCTCAGCCCTTACCTGGGTCTGGGTGAGCCCGAGCTGGGCGGCCAGTTCAGCCCGTTCGGGCAGCGCCAGGTACTGCGCTTTCTGGAATCGGCGCTGCAGAGCCGCCAGCTGGTAACTGGAGTAGATGGTGCGGGGCTTGCGGATCTTCTTGGGTTTCCCATTGACCATCCGCACCTCCGGCTCCGGCTCCTCCTTCACCGACACTGGGCAGAGAGCGGAGGTGTGAGGCTGGTGAAGGGGTCCCAGCGCTGAGCACGCACACACACACACGCACACCCCATCCCTCAGCTCAGGGTCATCGCACTCCGTGTGCCCCCATCCCCAGGGGCATCCCCTGATGGCCACATCCAGCTTGGATCCATCCCGCTGCATCTCCCCAGCAGCACTGGGGATGCCAGAGGGGGCTGATCCCACAACAACAACCCCATCCCCGGCTTGGGGACACTTGGAGGAGTGCAACTTCGCTGCCTTTGTCCCAAGGGACTTGCGGGATGGATACAGCCCCTTTTTTCCCCAAGCATCCTACCTGCTTCTTGGGCCGGGAGCTGCTGGTCCCTGAAGTGGCTGTACTGGCGGTAGGAAGGGCTGTAGGAATAGTCAGATTTGGGCGAGTAGGTGCCGGCGGTTCCGATGCCGTTGAGGTTGAACTGGTGGTAGGGGTAGTGGCTCACAGGCTGGCTGTAGGACTGGCCCGGGTAGTAGTCGTGCTGGCTGGTGTAGTAGCCCAGGTCGGTGACGGAGGACTCCGGTAAGGTGGGAGAGTCCTTGGAGGCGGCATGGCAGCTCAGGGAGCCCGAGAGGTCGGTGAGGATGCTGGAGAGCTTCTTGTCGAAAGAGCCACTCATTGCTGGAGCTGGGCAATGGGGGGGGGGGGGGGGGAGCTGCCTGCCTGGCTGGGGACCCCCCAACCCGGCGGCTCCGGCTGCCCACGTCAGGCCTGGCTTGCCCAGAGCCGGCTCCTCCACACCAGCTCTTGCGAGGAGCAACCAAGAGACTGTGCCCAAACCTCCAGCCCCGGCCGCCTGCTTAAAGCCTTTAATTAGGGAGCAGGGCAGGGTGGGTGCGCATTCCGATTGGCTCCAGAAATATTGCCTGGGAGGCAAAATAGGCTCCGGCCTCCTCTCTGCCTCTGTGTGTGTGTGTTTTTTTTCCTCTCCTTCCCTTCTTTCCCTCTCTCAAGAAACAACAAAGAGTGGGTGAAGGAGGGAGAAGGGATAAATAGAGACCGCAGGCTCCTGTTTGCGGGAGCAGGGGAGGGAAGTGGAGGGGGGGGGACGGGACGGGACTGGCGGGGCCTCTGGGGACACTGTGAGCCAAAGGGGTGCTTTCTGGCAAGGGGACTTTTGGTGCTGAGGGGGGATTTGCAGGGGGAGCAGAGCTGGGGGGTGTTTGCTGGGGGGTAGAGCAGAGGAAGGGTTGGGGATAGGGAGTAGGATGGATCCAAGTTTGGGATTGGGTGGCTGGGGGGGTACATTTTAGGACCAACCCCACCCCCACCCCCCCCCCCAAGTCCCACCTTCTCCCAGTGTCCCCCAGTTTAATGTCGTGCCCAAGCCAGCCCCATGGAGTGGTCCCCCAGGTACTCCACCAACCTGCCCTTCTCCACCTGCCCTGTGGGGACCTCGGGTGGTGACAAGCCCTGATTCTGAGGACACTTCTCCTCCTCTGTGCCCCTCTCGCATCCCCAGTCATGGTCCTGACACACACCCCCTCCACACCCCCCTCGCTGCCCTAAGAGCCCCCAGCAGCATCACCCAGCCCGGGGTCCCCAAGCCACCCCTGGGCTGTGTCCAGACCCCCCCCCCATATACCCAACTCTGGGGACTTATTTGGGGGGGGGGATCTCTGCTCTGTTGGCAGCTCCTTATCCCTGGGAGGGGCTGGGGGGGGGCTGCGAGCGGATCCTTAACTCTGGAAGGGGCTTTTTCCTCCCATCTCCCCTTGTCCCATCTCTGCGCCCTCCCGGCTCCTCCCCGCCCCGGCAGCAGCACCGCGCGGTGCAATGGCGCCATCTGACGGACTGAACGGGGAACTGCGCCCACGGGGGTCGAGGGTTCGAGTCCCGGCCCTGCCGGCACCGCACGGGCCGCGGGTCAAAGGGGGAAATAATCCGAAAGGTGAATAGAAGGGAAATGGAACGAATGGAAAGGGAGCGGGAAAAAGAACAGGAGAAATAGAATTTGAAATGATGGAAGTAAAATAGAAAGAAAAATAAAGAAATATAAAAATAGAAATAGTAGAAAAAGAATAGAGAAATATAGAAATGGAAATAATAAAAATATAATAGAGAAATATAGAACTATAAATAGAACTAATAGAAAGAGAAATACAGAAATAGAACTAACACAAATAGAAGAAATAGAAATAGAAATAATAGAATAGAAATAGAAATAGAAATAGAAATAATAGAATTAGAAATAGAAATAGAAATAGAAATAGAAATAACTCGAGATCAATTCCAGATTTGAAGAGTTCTTTCAGAGGGGACAGAAATGTCTGGGACAGCCCCAGCCCTGCTCGGAGCTCTGCAGGGCCCCCCCGTGGGGAGGTTTCCCAAGGTCTCGGAGGAGCAGCCGGACTGTCACCAGGGCTGGTTCCTGCTGGGACAGGGTTCCTCCAGCAGGAAAAGCTGGTTCGGGAGCTGCAGGTTGGGGGAACGCGCCCGGGGAATGGGACACAAACAGGGAGCAGGTCCATGCGGTCCTGAACCAGTTTGGGACTGGGAGGCACTGGTGCCTCCAGCTGCTGGAGGTTATTCAGCAAGGCTGGCCCGAAAAGGGGAGCTCATGGATGAGGACAGCTTGTGAGGAGGGAACAGTGTGAGGGGACCAGGACAGTGGGGATGGAAGAAGTCGCTGCATGGAGGTACCCGAGGGTGTCTGCAGGGGCAGCGCTGGCAGGGCCGGCCTCGGGGATGGAGATGAGCTCTTAGGCAGAAGCTCTTCCCTGTGAGGGTGCTGAGGCGCTGGCACAGGGTGCCCAGAGAAGCTGTGGCTGCCCCATCCCTGGCAGTGTTCAAGGCACAGGGGCTTGGAGCAAGCTGCTCCAGTGGAAGTGGTCCCTGCCTGTGGCAGGGCTTGGAGCTGGAGGAGCTTTAAGGTCCCTTCCAACCCAAACCAGGCTGGGATTCTATGATCCTATACAATAGTCGCATATGTAGTTCTGTGTAGCTGATTTGTTGGCCTTATTTCAACTTGTTTTACATTTACTTCCTTAATGGCTATTGCTTTTTAAACGTTCTTTCTCTGCCTACATTTATCCCCTTTCCTGTCTTGACCTTTTAATTCTTTCTTCTCTTTCCTCACTGCGCTTCTAAAACATTTTTCTTTGTCTGCGCTTTCCTTCACTGTTATTTTTTAGTTATTTTCTCTTTAAATCGCTGGGATTTTAGAACTTTCTACTTTTCTCTCCTTCACTGTCTTTATTTTTCAATTCTCTAGTTGTTGACTTCGCTTTTTAATTGACCTTTCTGTGTCTCTGTTTTAGTTTCTTTTCCATATCACTTCTTTATCTATTACATGTAGCATTTTACATGTTCTTTCTATGTATTTAGTACCCCACAGCCCAGATTTTCCATGTTTTTTTCTTTTCCATGTGGATTTCTTTTTTATGTCTTTATTTTCTTTTTCCCCCACATAGGATTCCCTTTTAGCCAATATGTTTCTCCTCTTTTTATTGGATCATGAATCAACATAGAATCACAGCTTGGTTTGGGTTGAAGGCACCTTAAAGCTCATCCAGTTCCAATCCCTGCCATGGGCAGGGACCCCTTCCACTAGAGCAGCTTGCTCCAAGCTCCTGTGTCCAACCTGGCTTTGAACACTGCCAGGGATGAAGGACGTTTGTCAAGGATGGCTTCAAACCACTTCATGTACCAGGATACCAAGGGACAAAATCCACTGCAGGGATGGAGATCTCCCCCTGCTGCCACCTTTTCCCCTGAGCAGAGTGGAAGAGTTCCCATGGAAGGAAGAAGGACTCGGAGGCCCAGGCTTGGATGCAGCACAACTTTAATGAGGGTAAAGAAGAAAAGGAGGTGGCTCCCAGGGAGCACCAGGGGCAGCCACCAAGAGGCGGTGCAGCTCCTGCAGGGTGTCCGTCTGCCTGTCCCTCACTGAGAGGGAGGGAGGGAGGGAAGCCAAGAGGTCCCCACGGGGCTGGTGCGGGAGGTGGAGACAGGAAAGGAATGGAGAGGACAGTGGGAGAAGGAAACAGCGCCGTGAAGCTCTATCTCCTGTGCAGATCCATGGTGTGAGGTCGTGGAGGTCCTTGCCCGAGGATGCTGGCAGCAGCTTTAGCAGGGTCTGCAGCAGTAGCGGTTGGTGATGCAGGAGAGGTCGAAGCCCCCGGAGTTGATGGGCACTCCCTCACAGCTGAGGATGCTGCCAACGGCGGCGGAGGTGGAGGAGCCCACAACGGTGTTCTGAGGGAAGGAGCTGAGGATGGGGCCGGGCAGGGTCACCACCACGGGGGAAGGCTCAATGACGACGGTGGAGCTCTGGCACTGCCTGACACAGCACTCATTGCAGCTGTTGGCCAGCGGGGTCGGGCCGCAGGGCTGGCAGGGCACGCACGGGTTGCAGCAGGACATGTCTGGATGCTGGAGCTTCACCTGGACACAGGGCAGGGGCAAGCAGAGGATGGGACACGGCAGCAGCAGCTCTGCACCCAAGCCTGGGCAAGCCAAGGCACCTCCTGGCCCAGCACACGCTGACCACCTCCAAGCCCAGCAGCCGCCTCAGCTCAGTCCCAGCCTCTCTCTGCACAAGCCCTTCTCTCCCCTTCCCTCTGCCCCCCTCCGAGAAGCAGCTCCCATCCCTGCGCTAGCACAGCCCCCATCAGCTGAGAGCCCCGGGGAGGAACGACCTGCTCTGGAAGCAGCAGCACAAGAGGCTTCGCACTCACCTGATTGCCAGGAGAAGGAGGCCAGAGAAGTGGATGAGGAGCACAGACCTGGGCTGCCTTTTATAGTCGTCCTGCAGTGCCTCAGGCCCACAGGCACCTCTGTGGCAGCAGGAATTTCCTGACAAGCCCATGGCAAATGCAAACCCTCCCAGGTAATGGCAGGGGCCGTGTCCCGGTTTCCGGCACTGCTGCCTTTTCATTTCCCGGCTCATGTGCTTTGCCATAGGAAGGCTTCTGTCAGTGCCGGGATGAGAAGCCCAAGGGTTTCCGGGGCAGAACCACGTGAGCGCAGCAGAAGCCTCCCATCAAGGGCTGGTGCATCCCGTGCAGGCAGGGGATGTGCTCCTGGCTCATTCCTCTGGGCTTGCTTGTGGCCACACTGTGGGAAACGGGCACCGCTCTCGTGCTTCTGTCCACGTGCACAAGGAGCCCCACGGGACAGGACACGGCACAGGGGTGCCCAGGGGACCAAAACGCAGCCTCTGCCTCCTGCAGCCTCCAGTTCTTGCCTCGGGCGCAGGAGAAGGACCACGAAAGCCTGCCCACCTCTGCAGACCGTGGACCCTTAATCGATGCCCGTCTGGTGCAGGGTTGCTGGTGACGGGGACGGGACGCAGGCTCCTCATGTCCAGCCCGTTGCCAGCTGCACTCTGCAGCTCATCTGCCTGCTGCTGAGGGAGGTGGGCTCTGAGCCCTTGCACCAAACAGGGATCGAACCGGAGGGACAGGGCTCCAGGTGCTGCTGTGCTGGGAGGTGCAGGACAGGCTCCCTGGGCCTCCAGGGGCAGTCACAGAGCGTTGAGGCCAACTCGTGTGGGGATCGAGCACCAGGACTTCCCTATCCCCCATCAAGAGCAGGCCGAGGAGCTCCCGGCTGTGTCTGGGAAGGCCGGGAATTGTGACTGAGGGTGACCCGACCAAACCCGGTGCTTTGCCGTGAGCACATCAGGCAAAGTCCCTCCTTAGACGGATGGAACCTTGTGCCACAACCGCCCCGTCCACGTCCCGCTGTGTGCTGAAAGGTGGAGCCATGAACGGAGGAGGGAAGTTGAGTCTGTGCAAAAGAGGAGGGATGGGGCCAAGGCGATTTAAGGGGTTTTGCCC